TTTTTAAAGTTAATGAAAAATTATTTTAAAAAGTGATTTTAATTTGTCAAATATTCTCTTTTACTTATTAAATTTGTTTTGAAAAACAATCCCAAACACCCCGTAAAATCTAACAAAAAACTACATACCTCTATTGAACATACAATTTTTTTGCCCCTACAATGAGAGCTTAGTAACTGAGGAGCGGAATTTCACATATGAGGTCCATGATTCAAATCCTGACACACCTAAATTATTGTTAGTGTTACGTGATTAATCCCCCACGTGGACATCCGTACGGATTGACGTGGACTGTTCAAATGATACATTTCCATTTTTTTAAATTAAATTTTTTTTTTACCTTAACACCTTTTGTATATTTTTAGATTCTCCTTTTTTTTTGTCGTTAGTTCTAATCCTTTTTACCTAAATTTGTACATAAAAATTGACATAAAAAATTGTCATATTTAGAAGTGAGGGTGTTAAAAATGGGATAACAAAAGAGAAACATAAACCATACAAATTTAGACGGAGGACGGATGGAAAAATATCCGGTCCGTTAGCATGCATGTGGTGATTGATATCTAGAATCAGTGTGTATTTGTAAATTTGTACTAGTAATTGTATATGCATATATATATTTAGAGAAGAGAGAGAAAGAGTGAGGGAGACTATTTCTGTGGCTTTAGATTCTTGGGGCGTATAGTACACCGTCCCTACCAGCTTTCCCCGAGAAAATCAAACCTCTGCAGCTCGCTGCCATTCCCCTTTTTTTAATTTCTCAATTGCCACTCCTATTCTCCCTTTTTTTTTATTTCTTGATTGCCACCACTATTCAGTCATCTACATCGAAAAGAAGGAATTAGGGAAAAAATTATAATGATTTCAGATGCTTATATTCACTCCTAGGGTAGAGGAGTAAAAGATACAGACATCAGACGCCGGAGGTAATGGCGGTGCTCGCACCATTGGTCTTCATCTTTCTTGTTCTTGGTCTAAACTCCATTAATGGCGACACAGATCCATCCGATGGTTAGTATTTTTCTTTCTTTCTTCATTTTTAGTTGTGGGTTTTTATTGTTTGTCGGTGTCGCCTATGAAAACCTGTCTAATTGATTTTACTGTAAAAGGTTTTTACGATTTTCGTAGTGGTTTAAAGGAACACGTAACCGATTACGTTAACTCAATTACACACCCTCTATGTAAACATACTCGAATTCACAATCAACCAACAAATTAATCAAAGCAATTGATTCGAGTTTCAAACTTCATGTGCAGTCTCTGCCCTGGTAGCCATGTATCAAAGTATGAATTCGCCGGGACAATTAACCAAGTGGAGTTCAAGCGGCGGCGATCCCTGTGGAGATAACTGGAAAGGCGTCACATGTTCGGGTGCAAGAGTCACAGAAATGTATTTCACACTTTCCATTGATCATCTACTCATTTGAATGTATAAAGTCATGTCATAATTCATAAAACTCATAACATTTGTATCCGATCAGAAAATTATCCAGTCTTGGGCTTTCAGGGGGAATCGGATTCCAGCTTTCAAGTTTGACATCGGTAACTGACTTGTAAGAACGATAAATTTCTTCAATCTCTTCATTTATGGCTTCTTTTTTGACATATATAAACCTGACATGTTTTAATTTGGTAATGCAGTGATGTAAGCAACAATAATTTTGGCAATCAGATACCTTATAGCCTTCCTCCAAACGTGCAAAGATTGTATGTTTATTTATTTATTTATTATTATTATCTTTTAAGCATTCATTTTCTCCTAATTTTCATCTCATTTCTCATATGACCTTTCAAAAATGCAGAAATCTTGCTGGATGTGGATATACTGGCAGCCTTCCATATTCCATATCACAAATGGCTTCTCTACGATACTTGTGAGTCAACTTTTTTTTATTTTTTGATCAAAAATGTTACACTGATATTGACATTGATTTTTTTTATATTTGAACAGAAATGTTGCTCACAATCAAATAAGTGGTCAATTGCCTGACATGTTTGGGCAACTTCCATCTCTTTCCAACCTGTAAGAACTGAAACCATAACATATATTTATGCATGTGAGGTAAAAAAAAAAAAAAAAAAAAAAAAAACTCAAAAAGTAAGGTTTTTAATGATTTTATGCATACTTCAGGGATCTATCTTCTAATTTATTCACGGGTGATCTTCCTCAAAGCTTCAGCTTATTGTCAAGTGCTAATAATATGTAAGTATATGAATCTGTAATCTGACATGGCATTCAAGTTCTCATTCAATTATTGTTGTGTAGGTATTTACAAAACAACCAGTTTACAGGCTCCATTGATGTTCTTGCAAATCTTCCCCTCAAGACTCTGTGAGTATTTTTAATCAAAACCAATCTTTTACACGTGTTAGGTATATAATATATTTCATTAATTAACACTTATTTCTTGACTCATGTTTCAGGAATGTTGCAAATAATAAATTTACCGGTTGGATTCCTAGTCAATTTAGAAACATAAATTTCCTGTAAGCTTGTAACTCTTACATTATCTGTATTTATAAAAAAATATTTAAACATTAAACATTATACGATTGTTTTTGTGCTAGAAATGATGGTAATTCATGGAACTCAGGGCCTGCACCACCACCGCCACCTGGCATCCCTGCACCTGAAGGTGGTGGTCAAACCCGCCAACCGAGCGGCATTACACCATCTGCTAGCGGCTCTAGTGGCGGCGGGAAGAAATCCGGTATCAGTGGTGGAGCTATAGCTGGAATTGTGATTTCCATTTTAATTGTGGCTGCATTCATTGTATTCATTCTATTAAAAAGAAGATCCAAAAAGTCAACAGATATAGAAAAAACCGAACCCCGATCTTTACCTCCTGTTCCTCCACAGCAAGATTCAATCCAAGATTCCTCCATGGTCAACACAAAAGCAGTTGACCCTCCAGCTGTCATTAACCTTAACCTAAAACCACCACCAATGGATGATAACAACATCTCATTCGATGACATTGACAATGATTTCACAGCAAAACCTATAGTTGTTCCCAAAAAACAAAGTGTGGCCCCACCAGATGCCACGTCATACTCCATAGCTGACCTTCAAATAGCTACAGACAGCTTCAATGGTGATAACCTAATAGGAGAAGGATCTATCGGGCGTGTTTTTCGTGCCCAATTTGAAGATGGAAAAGTTGTTGCTGTTAAGAAAATTAAGCCATCTGTTCTTCATGGTCAGTTATCAGAAGATTTCATTGATATTGTTTCAGACGTATCAAGATTACGCCACCCTAATGTAACAGAGCTTGTTGGATATTGTTCTGAATATGGACAGCATCTTTTAGTTTATGAGTTTCTAAAAAACGGATCTTTATACGATTTCCTACATCTTTTGGATGAATATAGTAAGCCATTAATATGGAATAGCCGTGTCAAAATTGCTTTAGGGACAGCACGTGCATTGGAGTAAGTTAAAAAAAAAAAAAAAAAAAAAATCTTATTTGAATAATCGAGTATTAGGGCTGATGTCATCTTGTTTCTATTTCAGATATCTACATGAAGTATGCTCGCCTTCTGTTATTCATAAGAACATTAAATCAGCCAATATCTTGCTAGATTCAGAGCTTAATCCTCATCTTTCTGATTGTGGGTTAGCTAGGCTTGTCTCAGATGCAGATCAGGTAGAATAAACTTGAACTTTGTATAGAGTTGAATATTTGAATTTACGGATTTGCCCTTGGTTTGGTTGCAGGAGGAGAATGTTGGGTCTGGATACAGTGCCCCTGAGGTTTCGATGTCTGGTCAGTACACGATAAAGAGCGATGTGTACAGTTTTGGTGTTACTATGCTAGAATTACTTACAGGAAGAAAACCTTTTGATAGGTAAAAAAGTTATCTTACTAAATATAGTAACCTGGTTTTGTTATATATATAGATTTCTTTAACCTAAGTTGTGGTTTCAGTTCAAGGACAAGGGCAGAACAGTCTTTGGTACAGTGGGCGACACCTCAGCTTCATGACATTGATGCTCTTGCCAAAATGGTTGATCCGGCACTTAAAGGACTGTATCCAGTCAAATCTCTTTCTCGATTTGCGGATGTAATCGCTCTTTGTGTACAGGTAATACTGATACTGATAGTCTGATACTGATATTGATGTGGTTATTTATATTTATATATGAATGTTAGGCGGAGCCAGAGTTTCGGCCACCCATGTCTGAAGTGGTTGAGGCGTTGGTAAGACTTGTGCAGAGGGCAAACATGAGCAAGAGAACGGTTAGTCTTGAACAAGGTTCAGCTGTGCGGGCCCGCGACCAGGATTCTCCTCGGGAGAGTTGATGATTGTATTTATTTTTTTGATTGTTATCGTTTATTATCAATCTTTAAACAAAATTGGTTTGGTTTTGGTTTAATAATTATATATTGTTATGGTTAGATAACGTGTAGCAAACAACCGACATTTGGAAGTGGAAGTTAAAGCATTTATTGATTTTTGTTTCACTTGTCATTAGTGAAGAATTCGGCTACTTGTTTGATTGTTTCCATTTTCTTAATAGGTCAAATTACAAAAAATAAAAATAAAATAAAAACTAACGTACTATACTCTTTTTACCAAAATAGGCATTATACTTTACTTTTTTTGCACATAATAGCAATGTATTTGCAATTTCTTATCCTCAATAGCTACATACTTGCATTATTTTACTGATAATATCGCTAAGTAACCTGAAACTTGTATAATGTATTTCTTTTTCCTCTTAATAGCAAAATACTTACAATTCTATTTGCATAATAGTAATGTAAGTTGCTATTCCCCACAAATTCCCTTAATATGCACATACATGCACACAATGAATAAAAACAAAGCATACAATCGTGTTTAAATGCAAGGATAACCAAACATAACATTCATTTTTCGACTTCAGTCCCATTTTCCTCAAAAGAAAACACCACACTTGAAATTTTTTGACATCTGAATCCATGTGTAGCAAGACTTTAAAGAAACATTAAAAAGTTCATATAACACATAACAAATCAATTGTAAACCATATACTTAGGAGTAGCACTAAACTTCTGGTACCCTTTAATGACTTTGTTAACAGCATCAAGGAAATCCTTCTCAGTCACTGTCTTCCTCCTTGCCCTAATTGCATACATTCCAGCCTCAGTACACACACTTCTTATATCTGCCCCTGTTGAATTAGGGCAAAGTCGCGCCAAAAGTTCAAATCTCACATCCCTTTCACAGTTCATTGTTCTTGTATGAATCTTAAATATCTGTGTCCTACTTTCCATATCTGGAAGCCCAAATTCCACCTTTCTATCCAGTCTCCCAGGTCTCAACAGTGCTGGATCCAATGTATCTGGTCTGCAATTACACATACATATTCAAATAAAGTGCTGTATACATGAAGACAGTTTCTTTTTGGACTTGATGAAAGATATGAATAAAATGTACCTATTTGTAGCCATCAAAACTTTAATATTCCCACGAGCATCAAATCCATCAAGTTGATTCACAATTTCAAGCATGGTTCTTTGAACCTCATTATCACCGCCAGCTCCATCATCAAAACGGGCCCCACCAATTGCATCAACTTCATCAAAGAAAACTATGCAAGCTTTTTTGGAACGTGCCATCTGTTGAATTGAAGTCAAAGTTGTAAGTTGCTTAAATTAATGTCAAATTATTGACTTATTGTCAATTGAATTTTGTTCATTATGATGACCTGGAATAGTTCGCGAACCATGCGGGCCCCCTCACCAACGTATTTTTGAACGAGTTCACTTCCAATGACACGTATAAAGCATGCATCAGTTCTATTGGCAACTGCTCTTGCTAAAAGTGTTTTACCAGTGCCAGGTGGACCATAGCATAGGACGCCTTTCGGAGGATCAATTCCCAATTTAACAAATTTCTCAGGGTGGAGCATTGGTAACTCAACCACCTAAAAAGAAAAAGATTTTATAAAACTATAAACACTAGTGTAATTATATAATCATAATCATTATTCATTACATAATCTACACACCTCTCTCATCTTTTCAATTTGTTCCTTGCATCCACCAACATCATTATATGTGACATCTGGTTTTTCTTCAACTGTCATCATGGTTACACTTGGGTCAATCTTGGGGGGTAAAGGGATCTGAATTTGATACTTGTTGCGGTCAACACTGTAATTAGACAAGGAGATTTTAGATAAAAAAAGATTTAAAAAAGAAAAGATTTTTATCATGTTATAATAGCAAATTCAAATTACCCAACACGCATTCCTTCTTCAATATCGGTTGGTGAAACTTTGTCACCCAATCCAACAACAAACTGTAGAATGATAAAACAGAGTATCAGTATGTTAGAGAAACAAGGGACTTTAAATTTGTAATTAGGATATAGGAGTTGTGTGTTTTATACATACCTTTGCAATTTGCTTGACATTTATTACATATTTGGCGTCTTCTGTGTTGGGATTAATTATTTTGGTGCATCTGGCTACCTGAAGAGGTTGCTCCTCTTGCATCATTTGCTTATCAGAAACAAGATCCCATTGGCTAGGTGCAGCCAAACCAGTGTCAGACTCTTTGATGCCTAAAGCAGTTGAAAAGAGAAACAAAGGAAATATCTTTAACCCTTCATATCTAATTATCTATATATGTACAGGTATAAGGCCATTTATAGTCTCTACAAAGAAGAATGTTCTAACTTCTAAGTAGTAAAACAAGCAAAAAAGTAGAGTCTTCATACAAGCTTATTTGAGTCAGAAACCTCACAAAAATAAGCTTACCACATAAATCGTTGATCCTTTTAGCCATTTCCTTCACATCCTTTTCAGCTTTCTTGATGCTTGTGGAATATGGCCCCAATCCCTGCACAAGTCTTCATCAATTCAGTTGCCATAAACAGAACATTTCAACCAACACAAACTATCAACTCAAAAGTTTCTCTATAATGCCCACGAACTCTAGTAAAATGCAAGATAAAGATCAAACTATCCTAAGTTCCTAACAGCTGAAGGCATTTAAAAATCAATCTTAAATCAAATTGTATTAAATTGCATCAATTCGTCAGCGCACAAAGCTAATCATTCAAATCTTCAGTAGATGCTACCTTTTCCTTGATTTGATGTACAAAACCATTATGTAAAAAGTTGAATTTTAAAACAGCAAAGCCTATTTTAGTACACGGGTAAACAGTAAAGAAGCTGCGAACAGCCGAATTTCATCAAAGAACTAATTTTCACCCGATCCGTAGTGTTGCTCGATGGGTTAACAAGTTAAAAAGAACAAGAGCCAATTAAATAAGGGCATCGAGTGGAACAAGTATTAGGTCTTTAGTTTGTAAGAATCGCGATTTAACTCACATAAGTCTTGAGAAGAGCGATATCGTCTTCATCAAGAGGGGGAGGATTCTTCTCGTCCCTAATCTCATCTTCTATGTCAGTCGGCATCGCTTTTTTTTTTGTTGCTACCGGAGGGCAAGGATTTGATTTGGATCTCCTCGACGGAGAAGCGTTTCTTGCCGAACAATAAACTGGGAGACAGGGTCGGTCCCGTCGAGTATCATCTTATGCTCGTATTTTAGTAGAAATACAAGAATAGTCCCTTGACTATTTTCCTATCCATAACTTGTCGAACTACTGTTTCTTTTGTGCATTATCGGTCCAAAATAACTTGAGTTCATATCAGGATGGGTATGACCATCCCTGAATCGATCCAAAGTCGGGTATGACCGGTTGACGAAACACATACACAAACATGTGGGGGCGAGGTGGGCCATATTCACTGTCTAGAACCCGATAAGAATCACCGATAAATATCCACTTCCGACCCATTATTAGGTATGTCTATCTCCAACCTGACCCAAATTCTTATGGTTTTGGATTTTCCCGTTAGGTGAACGCATTTTTTTTTTCATTTCTAAACCAATAAAATAGCACTCGTGTACACATAATGATCATTAGTACACGTATAATTATAACAATTGTTTATGATGACGAATACATTTATTTTCTATTTTGAATTCATTTGATGTGACTTAAAAAAATGTAAATTAAGAGTTGTACTTATGAAAATGAAGTGTTTTTTAGAGACTTTTAGACTACTATAAATGGAGTTGTATAATGAATTCACAAAAGATCAAGTATTATTAATCATACAACCAAATTGTAAGAAAATGACATTATTAATCAAGTTCAACTTGGCCATATGATGCAATAATCCCATATATATATCTACATCGCTTTACTATTAGTAGTAAGTTACATATATAGTTAAAATATCTCCGTAAAACAAAAATTTTCAATATTTTAATTTTAAATGTAACACCCAGTTTTTGGTTATTTATTAATTCAGGGTTGTGGACCGAAGGTCGATCATGTAAAAACTTTGGGCCTTAAGGAAGTAAAGTTTAGACATTTTGGGAGGTAATAATGTTGGTTGTGAGATCTAACCTTTGAATTGTGTGTTGAACCGAATGGTAGAAAGGGGAAAAGTTATGGACTGGGGTTTTCTTGCATGAATTAAGGATTTTAGTTCGAGATGTTTTTTGTAACACTCGGATTCAGGTATGTTATATTTAGTCCTTGGATCATTGTTTATTTTGCAAAAGAGGTCTTTCGTACGCTGGGCGTACATATATGTACGCTTAGCGTACATGGATGGAGGGATCGCGGACTTGAACCACATACGCGAGGCGTACGTGGCCAGAAGCAAAACCCTAATTTTTTCTGGCATGAGCCATATTTAAGCTCATTTATGACCTTTGGACCTTCTCCATTACCAGCCTCCACACCTCTAAATGTTCCTAAAACCCTAGTTTGCTTTGGAGTGTGATCTTTGAGCTTGAAAGTGACCTTGTGGCCCTTTTTGGTGTGTTTGCAAGAAGAAGAGCTTGGTGTGCAAGCCTTGGACGTGGTTGAGCTTCAAGATCCTGCATCTACATCATCTTAGGAGGCTTTTGGAGGTAAAAAGCTCCTACCTTGTTAATCAATTTGATACTTAGAGTTAGGGTTTGTTCATAAGCTCATTTTTGGTCCATGGATTCTCTTTTGTGAGTTTGAGCAACTCCAGAAGCTTGTAATGCTAGAACTTGGTCCCTTTGGTGTGTTAGAGGCATAAAAATGCTATCTTGAAGGTTGTTATGGCACCATGCATGAGTATAGGTCTTTAAAGTAAGTCTTAATGGACAAATGGGATGTTGGGCTCCCATAAGGCATGCAAAGGCATAAAGTTGCCAACGTTATGCTCTACGACCCCTTATGTAACGACCCATTTTTTTCAAAAGAAATTTTTTCATTTTTAATTAACCAAAATACGTTCCACCAATCATGTAATCCCAAATACAGTTGTTTTCAATTTCATAATAACAACAATTTTTATTTTAAAACATTAGAGTGTCCCATGATAACGACTGAGAGAGAGTGTGCACACCGCGCCATCAAACCTTGCCCTTGCCCTTGGGCTCAGATGTTCCTGAAACAAATCCACAAACTGTAAGCTAATGCTTAGTGAGTCCCCCAGAGCATACCCCACACACAATCCACATAACACATATCATATTAGCTATAAAAGCTACGTATATCACATAAGCCATGCATACCACATATAAGGAAGCCATGGAAACCCTCCAGGGTCTTACACCTAGTGCCACTAGAACCCCCACGTGGACTTAGCTACCCGCCATGGGAACCCCCACATGGTCTTCCTGCCATGGGAACCCCCGCATGGTCTTCTCTACCAAGCAAATACAATGCAAACTAAACATGTAATATATACTATGATGCCATGGAAAGTTGGAAACCCTCCAAGGTCTTATACCAAATGCCACGGGAACCCCACAGAGTCTTCCATACAAATGCCCTACTAACATAACGCATAGTCAAATGACAATCCACATATCATAAGATGGGCTGACCTTGGTGCCTTAGACCCATTGGTATGGTGAGAAGACTCACCTCCCGAATGCTGAACTGACAAGCTAAGATCAGATATATCCCACGCGCTGCTCCTCCTCAACTGCCTATAGTCAACATGTGATTGACTTGTCATAATCCCATAAATACCCTCAAAGTCAACCCTGGTCAAAGCCAAGGTCAACAGTCAATGTTACCTTTAACTCGTTGAGTGCATCCTAACACTCGTCGAGTTCCTCCCATTTTTGCACCCAAAAGTGACCACATCCTTCCATAAAATGAGATCTAAGCAAATAGAGATCAAGGTGGTAACTTTTTACCTCTAAATGGATGCTCACAACCAGTAGATGCTGGATCCCAAGCTTTCTCCTCTCTTCAAGCTCCTCTACCTTCAAGTTTCCTTCTTCAAAGGCACAAGTTTCACTCTCTAAGGCTCACACACACTCAAGGAAGCTCAAATATGCGACTAGGGTTTCTTTCTGGGCTGTAAGGACGATGAGGGAGGCTACAAATGAGCCATAAGTCCTTTAAATAGGGTGAAAACCCCTAAAAATTAGGGTTTCTTTCTACATCGCCTACTCGTTGAGTCGGGGCCTTCCGACTCGTCGAGTAGCATCCAAATCCCGCGTCCTCATAATAGTCTCTACTCGACGAGTTAGAGCACCCCAACTCGCCAAGTCCATGCACAAAACTCTAAAACTTAGATAAATTAAATAATACCTAGAACATGTGTTACACCTTAAATGACCAAGATCTGGAAGTTGACGAATTGACTGCATGGATTAAGCACTTAATGTCTAAATATGCTTAACAACTTAGTACGTTGGGCGTACTAAGATGTACGATGCGCGTACTACCTGAAGACTAAGTACGCTAAGCGTACTGATGATTACGCTGCGCGTACGCCCAGTGGGCTGTTGGACAAGTTTTGGACTTTTGGACTATTGGGCCTTAACTAGTTATGGGCCTTAGGCTGTTTTGGATAGATGGGCCCAGTTTCTATTGTGGGCCTTGTGTGGCATGGTTTTGGCCTTTTGGGCCATGGAGCCTGTTATTGTGGATGGGTTGAATATGGTTAGCCCCATTATGGGATGGGCGAAATGGGGCATATTTTAGGAGTTGGACTTAGGGTTTTGGCCCATGTCTTGAGTCTATGACCTAATTCTAATTAGTGTAATTTGTGTATATTCAGTGTGAGATTGTTGGATCGGTAGACGAGCCGTCAGTATTTACCAGTAGATCGAGGTGAGTCTTCTCACTATATCAATGGGTCAAAGGCACCAATGCTTACCCATTACTTGACATGCGAAATGATAGTTGTCTATGTGTTTGTTTGACTGAAAGACCTTGGGGGTAGCCTGTGACACTTGTATCGAAGACCATGGGGGTAGCCCATGGCACTTGGATGTCGGACCATGGGGGCAGCCCATGGTATTCCAGGGAAAAGACCATGCGGGGTAGCCCATGACAATCATATGTATTTTGTGTGGTATATTTGCGATTGTATGTTATGTGGTATTTGGGAAACTCATTAAGCTTTTGCTTACAATTTGTATTGTGGTTTCAGGTACTTCTGGTAATAAAGGGAAGGGTCTGGCTTGATGGCGCAACATTCACTCTCCACTCTTTTCCGCACTTACTGATATTGTTACTCTGATAATTAAACATGTTTATTCTGTAATGGATTTTGGAAACAATTTATGACTGTAATCTCCTATTTGAAAATCGAAAATTTTATCCGGTTTTTGGGCTGTTACATTTTTAGTCCAAAGTAATTAGATAGGATTGTGGGGATCTTCAATACATTTCCATGCATATAAAAGAACGCCGAAAATGGAGTTGAAACGAAGAAGTTATGGTCGTTTGAAGTTGAAGTGGAAATTGTGGATTTATGGATTACGCAGGGTGTAACTAGAAGTTACGTCGGACACCCATTCAACGACCCTCCACCACACAGTAGATCAGTGGGTGAGAGTGGACACCTATTCAACGACCATTTTATAGGCCGCTTCCCTATATCCTATTTATAACATGGTTTCATGAATGAGGCGTACTAACGATTTTGACTGACTATTCTTATACATATATATATAAACCTTTAATTATATACATAGTATAAGGTGTATTTTAAAACATTTGAAAATACAAGGTTTAATCTTTTAATAAATTAAACTTTTAATTTAATTAAATTTAAACCATTTTATAGATTTATTAAATATCTTTTAATTAATCATTTAATTAAATTAATAATAAGATCCATAAGGATAATATTAATTAATCTTATAATAAGCAATATCTTGTCTAAGATTATCTTCTAACATTTAGGGTTTTATTTAATTATCTAATATAAGCAAAATTAGGATTTGACAGATTTTCTAAGAGATAATTACCAAATAATAACCATATAAATCATATTAGGCAGAAAAATACGAAATTCTGGAAATATTGTGCTCATGTCGTGAGATCAGTTAGACAAAAACAAAATTCTGAATTCTATTGTGCTCATGTCGTGAGCATTAAATTCTCATGTCGTGAGATCAATCCGACATAATTTTGTTTTTTTTTTTGTTCAAGTTCAAGCAATGTATATTCAATTGTTAGACAACCATACGCTCTGATATCACTGATGGG